GATCAATAGGTACTGCTTCTGCAGGAAGGTAACAGCACTCCATGCAGTCATGCTGGCCACATGACCTTGGATGTGTCTATGGACAATGATGGTTCTTTGGCTTAGAAATTGAGATGAGTACCACTCCCCAGAGTTGGACACGACTAGACTTCATGTCAAGGGGAAACCTTTAACTTTTTATACATTATCCACAAACTGTGTGTCAGGTCATGTGCTTCAGAAATTTGAGACCACAGCTCCCACGATCCCTGAGCACTGACTATAATGCCTTGTAAACATGTGAAGGGCCAAAAAGTTGACTACAATTGAGATGGGCACTTAAAGGGAAGATAACAAGATAAGGAGAGTTTATGTCAACCATATCCTATGCCGATCCTTATTCTGAGAAACCGAGGCCCCTTCTACATTGCCAGAAAATCCAGGTTATCAGCCCTAGTTACACCCTGACTTGGATCAAGGCACTTACCAGAGCAGAAAATCCATATTATCTGCTCTGAACTGGAATATTTTAGTCTACACTGCCATATAATCCAATTCAAAGCAGATAATGTGGATTTTATATGTCAGTGTAGAAGAGCCCTGAGAAACTGCAATAAAGATTTCTGTGCTTGATAGAAAAAACATCTTACGCATGTTCTGTTAGTCCAGATTTGTGGTTATGACAGCATAATATAATTTTGATTTTTGAAAAAAAGCAAACAAGGTAAAAAGGGTAATCTCATCTGAGTTCTTGAAACAAACACTTAAAATCTACTTGAGCATCAAGAGAAAAAAAGAAAAGAAAAAAGAGAGGAGAAAGAAAGAAAGAGAGAGGGAAGGAGGGAGAGGAAAAGAGAGAGAGAGAGAGAGAGAGGATGATCTTCAAGCCTTTACTGAAAGTCAGTAGTTTCCATACCAACTGCTTCCTCCTTATCAGTACTTCATTTGAGAGTAGAGAAAAATGCCTGTGTGTGTGTATGTGTATATGTGTGAGAAAGTGAGACAGAAACAGAAGGAACTGGGGGGAGGGGGCTCTATGTTTGCTGTGAAATACATCTATCATCAAAAAAGCTAAAGCTAAAGCAGCAAGCACCAGATCTACTAAAAATGTTTATGAGTCTCAGCCCTAGTTACGCCCTGACTTGGATCAAGACACTTACCAGAGCAGCAAAAGCTGAAAATGGAAGCAAAACTGTGAATGTACAAATGTATTTGGTGTCCCCTAATATCTAGATTACAGTGTTTTAAACAGAAAACAGCACAATAGATCTGTCATAGAGGATTTTCATGTTTTCTGCAGATGTTTCTGGCCAGAGAGATAAGAATACCCATTCTG